CACTATGCACACATTGACTGGACGGGACATCGCCGCGACAAAGTTCAAGGCATCGATGCCCTAGGGATTCCTTTCTCGCAACCACGTGGCCCTCCTTTGGAATACTATTCTTCCACCTCTCACTCTTCGCAAAAGGCAAATTATATAAAAACAAAAAAGTGACTAAGTAGATATACCTATCACTTCCGGTTGTAATCTGAATCCCCCCAATATCCATAAAAGAGTGGTTGAAGAACGTGGGAAGCGGCTTAAATTTTTTGCTCAAACAGGGCAGGAGTGTGGTTGCCAACATCCAGGTGCGGCCTTGAGATCCCTCAGAATCACAACTGATCTCCAGACTACATAAATCAGTTTCCTTAGAAGAAATGGCAGCTTCACAGGCAATGCTCCCTCTAAGCTGTGGAGTCTTGTGAGCAAAAATTCTGCTTTGTGAGCTACTGGCTTTAAAGTTGTGAGCAAGTGATTTGGCTGCTGCATAAGTCAGATTGCTCTGAAGCCCTCCTTCCTGAGCGAAGACAAAAATGTGTGAGCCGAAGGCTAAAAAACTGTGAGCTAGCTCACACTAACTCAGCTTAGAGGGAGCACTGTTCACAGGATCACTGTATGACATCACACTCCTCCTGAGCTCCCATGCCTCCCCAAACTCCACTGTCACCAGGCACCACCCCAAAATCTTAGAGGATTCCCCAAGCCACAGTTGGCTACCCTAGTGGGAGGGTAGTCATCTTTTGAAGTAGCCATCCTCTCTACCTGACAACATTCTTGTGCTCCCTCATTGGCTGTTGGAAAAAGAATTCCTGGGAAAAGTGTTGAATAAAGGTGGCAATTCCACAGGTGAGGTGCCATGGCAGGAAAAAAATCCTGTCTCTAGCTACCCCACCTGCCTGACCTCTGGAGGTGGGGCGCACAGACATCAGGGCTTGTGAGAAAGAGCTTAGTTGGTGGGCTGGACAATGGCTGCCAACTTCCAGGTGGTGGATGGAGATCTCCTGGGATTGCAACTGACCTCTAGGCAACAGAGAAGAAATTGGCTGCTTTGGAAGTCCCTTCCCTCCCCAGACTCCACCCTTAAAATCTCCCAGAATGAGAGCTGGCAACCATAACAGTACAGGAGGAGCCATTGAGGTCCTTATAGGTAAGAAGCAACATTTTGAATTATGCCTGAAAACAGATGGCTGTTGCTGCTCCCTGCTAAGATTGCCAACTCCAGGTTGGGAAGTTCCTGGTGATTTGGGGGCGGCACCTGAGGAGGGCAGAGTTTGGGGAGGATAGGGACCTCAGAGGAGTATAATACCATAGAATCCATTCTCCAAAGCAGCTGTTTCCTTCAGGGGAAGTGATCTCTGTTATCTGGAGAGCCGTTCTAACTCTGGGGGATCACCAGGCCCCACCTGGAGGCTGGCAACTCTACCCCCTTATCCTGACCTCTCCTAGTGGAGGTGGCTTGCTGCCAAGGAGGGGTGGGCAGGCAGAACAGAGAATTACATTGGAATGGTAGATTTAAATGTAATCCTCTGTTCTGGTGATAAGAAAAATACTCTACACAGCCAAAATGCTTTAAAGTTTGCCTCCATGCTAGAAAGGGATGGGATCTAGTGACTGAATTCTCACAATTTAGGGTACATCAATCTCCAGTTCCGATATATTTATTACCTATGTTGTTTTCCCCCCAACTGAACCCAAACAGATGATGACCAGAAACCAAGCTTGTCATTCCTTTTATCAGTTAAAAAACATCTTCACTATCTTGCATCCTAATTTAACAAGCCACCCTCTCTATATAAAACTATGATCTGTAATTCCACTTCATTGTCTGATGAAGCATGCACACAAAAGCTCACACCTTGAATAAAACTTTGTTGGTCTTAAAGGTGCCACTGGACTCTAAGTTTGTTCTGTTGCTTCAGACCAACATGGCTAGCCACCTTGATCTTTTAATTATTTCTCTCCTCACCTGGCCCTCTCTTTCCATGTGCCTACCCCAATACAGCAATACTTCACATTTGGTATTCTCTTCCATTCCATAAATCAATGGGTCATCAATAGATATTGATACATTTGCAACACAGTCCCATGATAGTTATCTCTTGGGAAAGACTGATCCCTTGAGAAAGCCATAAAACACCGAGCACTTTCATTGGTTTTCATCCAGCTAATTCACCAAGATTTTGATCTTGGGCACATATGTCACTCTGCCTCAAAGCACAATTTTCCTATATCAAGGGGACTCAAATCCACATTATGTGTGTGTGTGTGTGCTCGGCACCAACCACACACCAAACGCTGGTCACCTTTTCTCTTCCACAGGCCTGAATCTTCAAGACTGGTAAATATAACCCACACTAAACCACTATTTCCTCACTACCTCCTTTTATTTCTTGGTTAGATCTTGTATGCTTGATTTACCATGTATTTTGTATGTGTGTTGAGCCCTTCTGTTAGTTTTCAGTAAACTTCTATTAGTTGAACATCAGCCTGGTTCATTTCAGAGTCTCTCTAAGGGAAAGCTCCCCATAAAAGCTGGTGGAGGTCTCGCTGTTGCCCCCTCTTGCTAAGCCAATTTCCCCAATAATTAATTATTAGATCATTTTGGGTAACAACCTCACAGGCTTGCTGTGAGGATTAAAATGAGAAGGATCGAAACTGCTTTGGCTCCCCACCAGTGTTCCCTCTAAGCTGAGTTAGTGTGAGCTAGCTCACAGTTTTTTAGCCTCCAGCTCACTCATTTTTGTCTTAGCTCAGGAAGGATGGCTCCAGAGCATGTAGTGGATTGTTATATAGTATAGTAATTGTTTGTTAACAACTTTTATAGTGTTTTATTTCTTTAGTATGAATTGTCTTGAAAGCCAGTGAGGTATAGTGGTTAAGAGTGTGGGACTAATATCTGGGAGCACTCGCTTGGTGATCTTCGGCCAGTTATGCACTCTCAGCCTAGCCCACCTCACAGGATTGTTGTGATGATAAAATGGAGGAGAGGAGAATGATGTAAACTGCTTTGGGTCTCCATTGGGGAGAAACATGGGGGTACAAATGAATTAAATGACTATTGTCTTGAAGTTTTTTGCAGTCTGCTATTTTCTTGCCTTATTTCACACAGTCTAACTTAATGTTAATAAAAAGCAAATGTGCATATTTTTCAATAAAAACATGTGTGTATTATTTGTTCATGTCTTGCAGCTCTCAAATATCTGAAATTTATTCTATGTTGCTGTTAGGTTAAGCAAGTTTGGCCATCCCTGCTCTAAGCTAAGAAAGAAAAAAACAGGGACAGAAGGAACCCGAGGTCAGCATTGTAAAACTACACCCAATGCATTGCTGCTATCTCACACACAGTGAGTGGGAAAGACAAACTCCTGACAGAGGGTTGGGTGCAGTGTTAGTATGAGATAGCTCAGTTTTTTAGCCTCTAGCTCACACATTTCCTTTTACAGTTCCGCAGGGCCAGCAAGACAGAGCTCTTCCGCCAGGCATATAAATAGGGGCCACTGCTGTCTTAGTGCACAGCCCGTAATGTTGACATCAGCAGCTGTCTCAAGAATGAGCAATATAACAGTCAAACATCTATGTGGAATAACATCAAAGCACTTTATTTGAATACATCTCATTGGTTTATCTTATCTGCCGCCAGTACTTTGTAACATTCGTAATGCATTATTTTAATTGTTGTGTTTTAATTCTGTATTATTTATGCTTTTATCTTGTATTGTTGTGGAAGCCGCCCTGAGTCTGCTTTGCAGGGGTATAAATTTGATTATAAATAAATAAATAAATAAATTCTTGTCTTAAGTCAGGAAGGATGGCTCCAGAGCAAACTAATTTATGCAGTAGCAAAAGGGCTTGCTCACAACTTTAATGCCAGTAGCTCACAAAGTGGAATCTTTGTTTATAAGACTCAACAGCTTAGAGGGAGCATTGGTTGGATGTCAACCAATATCCTGTGCTTATTTTGAATTCAATGCTGTTGAACACAGTAGGATTTATTTCTGACATGCAAAAGCTTGTGGCTGGAGTTGCCAACTTCCTGAAGGGGAAAAAAATGTCCTGTCCTTTAAGTACAGGTTTAATGAGATGTTATCTCCCTGTCATGAAAAGCTTCAGCTGCTAATTTCCATGCCTCTCTTTATTAAAGGAACAGGGCATTTTTCTCCAGGCCTGTTAGCAACCCTAGCTACATAACATCCCAAGATTAATTGCTGCATCCGTGGGTGGTTGTACCTGTTGCAGTTCTGCCTGTTTATGATTAAAAACAGAATCCTCTCCTCACCTTTTACCTTACGTTTTAACTATTTTAAATTTGCTAGTTGCTGTAGATTTTCCGGGTTGTGTGGCATTGTAGGACCTGATGTTTTGCCAGCAGCTGTGATTGGGATCCTCAGAGATATAACACAGAAAGATGGAGTACTCTGTGTGTCAAGGTGAGAAGACAATGGTAGGCAGGTAATTTACAGCAGAGGGGCCATAACTCTTTCAAAGCACTTACAACAAAGAGGAACCTGTCCATGGCACTCCCGTGCTTAGCTGATACACAAGCAAAGCCTTTCTCTTCCCTTATCTGCTTATGGATTTTCTGCTTATCACGGTGCATTTGGAAACCTACTAGGAGAAAAAAATAACAACCGTGAACACAGAATGTGATCCGTTCGTGACGGGGAGGGTGGGGGGGGGGCTTTCTTTGAACCGTGCATTTCCTCTCCAATTCTTGGCGCGCATTATCAGGATTCTTTTCACAAAACTACCAAAAGTCCCCTAAGGGCAACGTAAGTACTCCCTTAGAAGATTCTGTCTGGTGAAGCTTCCTGTTACTACAGAAAAACTTCCTGCCCTCTTTCGTTTCCCTAGGATTCTGTTTGTAGCTTTTGAATACGGCCAGAGTGGACGCCAGATGCCACAGCCCGCGCGGGGGTGGAGGGGGTCTATTCAATACCGGAAGTTTATGAAGTGTGACTTTCATAGTTCCTTATCTCTATGGTCTGGGCGGAAGTAGTTGGGTAGCCATGTTACTTGAGAGGCAAGTAGAGGCTTGCTATTCTCCCGCCCTTCTTGAAATGGAGGCAAGGAAGATTTGGCGAAGGTGCTAAAAGGTTTCCAATTGTTGGCTTCCAGGAGAAGTTACTGGGTGCCATGGAGTAACTTCAGGGTGAGCGTATACCTGGGGTCTGGTTGCCGTTGTCTGGAGTGGCTGCGTGGGTAACAGCTGTGTAATATGGGGAGGGGAGCAATTCTATGAAGGCGGGGGGGGGGATGAGTTGGTTACGAAGAATCTTAAACTGTACGTAGCAGTTTTATATTGCGGGAAATGGCAAAAATACTCTCCAAACAGGACCGTAATGTTTTGTTTTTTTAGGCCTCAAATATGACAAAATAGCGAGTGGAAGATTTTGGTTCACCTAGAACTCTTAATCAGGTGTTCAGGCAGAAAGGAAACGTCGGGCAGGAGAAAAGTATGGTCCAGGGATTAGTGGAAAGGTCCAAAATCTGCAGCAGCTTAAAATGGAGGTCAGGAGAGGTTGTAGCCTTTTACGTTTCAAGACGCACTAGGGTGTCTGGGATGGAGAAGCAAAAAATAGCGTCTTCTCTGAAACGATAAAAGCTAGGTAGTTTGGATGTTATGAAGAAGCAAGAAAGGGGGGCCTATTAGTGAGGGCTGTTAGTGATATCTGTAAAGGAATAAAGAGTGGTGCGGAGCCAAAGAGATACTAGAAAGTTTCACAGTGGTACATACTACAGATGCTAACCTGGTTGTTATGAGCATCTATTTGATGCTTTACCTGTTGTTTTGTTGGTGGTATCTCAGCTATAAGCAGGTTGAAATAAATTTTCTGGTAAGTGGGAGGCAATACCTATTCGGTTTTGGAGAGGGCAGTGCTGATTAGACAGACATAAATTGCATGGGCTCATGTTGGTTGCTGAAATGGGTTTCTGCAATTAAGTTCCTGTTTTTCTTTGTCAGGATGATAATAGCCTTTAAAAGTAGCCTTAAAAGAAATTAATGTATTTGAAATCACATCATATTTAGAGGTTTCAATTTATGTAACTTGCATTTACATGACTTCCATGTTTATAAAACTAAAAATCTGGATGATCTTCAGCAGTTCAAATTAAGGACACTGAACTTTTCTCACCATCCGACTTCTTTCAGGCAGTTTCTTCCCTGTGATTTTTGCTGTGGATATATTAGATTTTTGAATGCTTGCTGGTCACTAGAGACTGTGAATTTAGCAGGAAGTGGTCTTGTTTGAGGCTGTATTGGGTTTGACACTCAGTGTTACTCTTCTTAAAGCAGGAGTTGGCTTTGACAGTATGAGGGGAATGGCTACAGAACGTGTTGAGATTTAGAGGGAAAGTTAAAGTGAGGCGAGTGCGCAAGTCCTTACGTCATTCCCTAGGCTGCAAGTTTCACATAATATGCTGAAATGGAAGCTGCTGAATTGTAACCTATGTTTGCCGTTTTGGTTCTCCAGCTAGCCGTTCAAGTATGCCTTTAAACAAGGAAATATTCAAAAAAGCTAAGAATACAAAATTAACAATATAATGTGTTACTTTTTAGACGTAATCAGATGTGTCGAGTTGCATAGTGTGTGGTACACTTCCTTGGAACTTTCTGCATTTTAATTGAGTAGTGTATGGTATACTCCCTTGATGCTTTCTGCATCTTAAGTTAATGTTTGGTGCCAAGCAGTTGAATGCTTTACCTTTGCACTTACTTGAAACTTGTATTGGCATGAGCTGTACTGCAAGTTTTGGGCTTAGTGTGGATCATGTAAACTCGGTGACAGGCTACGTAAACAAAGATGCTAGCAGCAAGTGTGGTGGACTAGTGCTCGAAAAATGTAAAACATAATCAGATGACTGACTGGTTGCAGTGGGAATTGGATGATGTTAATTGAAGCTTTTCATCATGACGGTCCTGTTATGGAGAACCCTACGGGAGTATATTGTGCAGCTTGTTCCCTACACATGTAGCAGTTCCGTGCTGGAAGAACAATAAAAGACTGCTTTTTGTGTGTAGGCATTCTGCATATGAAACCACTGTACTGTATTCAGTCAGTCGTTCCACTGTGGCTTAACTGTAGTGGTTGTGACCAAATGGGGTTCAAGCAGCATCTATGGTTTTAACTGATTCTGGTGCAGTGTTAAAAGTGAAGCTGATTCAGGTATTAGATGTCTTTACTGGCTTTGACATACAGCCTATATTGAAGAGAGTGATACTTACATATGAATCTTTTTCATAAATAAAAATAGTGTACTTGGCATAAGTTATGTTTAGCCCAGTGTGCAATACTGTAAGTGCCTATATAGAGTGAATCATTCTCAGAAGCATAGGCTACAAGGTAATTCATCCGTGTTCATTCTCTAAGGAATATACTGAGTTTGCCACTTATTTAAATAGTTGCCTACAAAAACAACTGACAATATATGGGATTTTGGAAAACTCATTTATTTATTTCTTTTTCATATTTGTATCCCGCCCATCCCGTGAGTGGACTTAGGGCAGGTCACATCATCTCAAATAATGCAATAAGGTTTAAAACACAATAAAACATTACATTATAAACATTTAAAATCAGTAGTTATAGATGGTGGTGCAAATTCTGGCCCATTAATACTGATTTGTTATGGCCGGTTGCTGGCAGATGGGTGGCCAGTAGGTAGGAGACAGCAACCTCGGGGAGGCCATATGTGGACGCCCGCTGCCTCAACCAAAAGCCTGGCGGAACAGCTCCGTCTTGCAGGCCCTGCGGTACTGAGTAAGATCCTGCAGGGCCCTGATCTCGATGGGGAGCATGTTCCACCAGGTGGGGGCCAGGGATCACCAGGAGATGCTGATTACTAGAGCATAAAGCTCTTTGAGGCATATATGGGAAGAGGCGATCCCTTAGATATGTTGGCCCAAGGCTGTATAAGGCTTTGCCGGTCATTACCAACACCTTGAAGCGGATCCAGTACTCAACTGGTAACCAGTGCAGCTGGCAAAGCACATGTCGAACGTGCGCTCGCACAGGTGTTGACGTCAGCAGGCGTGCTGCTGCATTTTGGACCAACTGTAATTTTCGGATCAGTCTTGGGGTAAGCCTGCATAGAGCAAATTGCAGTAATCAACCCTGGAGGTGACCATTGCATGGATCACTGTAGCTAGGTCTTGGGGGAAAAGATATGGCTTCAGTAGCCTGATCTGCCTAAGATGGAAGAATGCAGATCTGGCAACTGCAGCAACCTGGGCCTCCATAGAAGAAGAGGCATCCAGTGTTACTCCCAGGCTCCTCACTGTTTGGGCTGGCACCAAAGGTGCCCCTTCCAGTGTGGGAAGCCTGGTGCCCGCATCCATGTCCCCTCCACCCAGGTACAGGACCTCCGTCTTCGATGGATTTACCTTTGGCCGACTCTGCCGCAACCATCCAGCCACAGCTTCCAAGGCCTCACCCATTGTTTCGGGAACAGAAGATGGATGGCCGTCCATTAACAGATAGAGCTGGGTGTCATCAGCATATTGATGACAGCCCAGCCCGTAGCTCCAGACTAACTGGGTAAGGGGGCACATATAGATGTTAAACAACATTGGCAAGAGGATGGCCCCCTGCGGCACTCCACATTCTAGCGTACACCATGTGGGGAGACCCTTTCACCAGGCGGCACCCTCGGTCCTCGACCATGGAGAAAGTAAGAAAACCATTTCAAGGCAGTCCCCTGAACCCCTACATAGGCGAGGCGGTGGTATGCAGTTGGTCATAAGATCGTAGTCGACCCTGTCAAACGCTGCTGTCAGATCTAATAACAGCAGCACTGACCTGCCTCGGTCCAGGTGTCTAAGGAGGTCATCTGTAAGGGCGACCAGAGCCATCCTGTAGCCAGGGTGGAAGCCAGACTGGAATGAGTCAAGGACGGAAGCGTCATCCAGGAAAACCTGGAGTTGTTCGGCCATTGCTCTCTCAACCACCTTATGGTAAGTTCGATACTGGGCGGTAGTTGAGGGTCCAGTGATGGCTTTTTCAAGTGCGGATGGACCACTGCCTCCTTCAAAGCCTCTGGGAAAGTCCCAGTAGAAAGGGACAAGTTGATAATTTCTCCCCGCAAGATTTAACTAGCCAGGAAGGGCATGGGTCAAGGAGGCAGGTAGTAGGTCTCACCGCTGCCAGGGTCCTGTCAACTTCCTCCCAAGAGAGTCGATCGAAGTGGTCCAATAGCGGACCAGAAGACGGACAAGGGGCCTCCAGTTCTTTTACTGTCTCAATTGTGGCCAGGAGGTCCTGGCGGAGTGTCACAATATTATCTGTGGAATAGCTCGCAAATGCCTCACAGCCAATGGTCAATTCCCTACTATTTGGTCTGCCCTGAGGCAGAGTTGTAATAGACCGAATAACTCTAAACAATTGGGCGGGGCGTGAGCTCGCAGACGCTATGGAGGCTGCATAGAAATCCTTCTTTGCAGCCTTCGCAGCTATCTCATAGGCCTTCATAAATGTCCTATAAGGTGTTCATGACACTTCGTCATGAGCACGCCACCACCTTCGCTCTAGCTGTCTTAGCTCCTGCTTTATTCTCTGCATCTCTGTGGTATACCATTATGCTGCTTTGGTGCAAGGGCGTAGAGGGTGCTGGGGGTGATCTTGTCGATGGCTTGAGAGAGCTGGTTATCCCAGTTCTCCACCAGCTCAACCAACGAGGCGCCAGGGGGCATTGGATCCCGTGGAACTTCCTGAAGCAGACTAGGGTCCATTTGGCTCCGCAGGCGAGCATAAATACGCTCACCGCCTAAACAGGGTGGTATGCTCAGCCGGACCTTCAGGGCGAAGTGATCAGACCATGGAACTACATCCATTGTCATCAGATCCACATGAATCCCCATCCCAAAAATCAAATCCAGCGTGTGGCCTGCTTGGTGCGTGGGAGTCGATATAAACTGGGAGAATCCCAGTGCCTCCATGGATAACACTAGGTCCCAGCCTGGACAGATGCTGCATCATCGGCATAGACATTGAAGTCACCCAGGATCAGAAGCCTGGGATATTCCAGTGCCCAGCCTGATACAGCATCTAACAGGTTGGACAGGGTATCTGCTGGTGCATTAGGCGGTCGGTACACCAGCCAGATAGCCAAACTCTCCTCGACGTCACACGCCAGACCAACATATTCAATGCCGGAGATTGTTGGGCCGGGGAGCGACCTGAAGGAACAAAATTCACGGATAATCAGATCCACACCTCCCCCCTGCCCATATGTCCGCGACTGATGAAAGACTGATAACCCAGGTGGGGCAAGCTGGTTCAAGGCGAGAGTTTCACCATTCCTCACCCAAGTCTCGGTCACACAAGCCAGGTCTACCTGTGACTCCATGAGATAGTCACGGAGCACATCAGTCTTATTATTAATAGACCTGGCATTGAATAACACCAGTGTTGGAGAAGGGTAAATTTTCATGACAAATATAACTAGTAACCTGATCCCATACATACTTACTGCAAAGTAAGTCCCACTGAGGTTGATGGGACTTCTGAATAACTTCTTTCACAGTAACTCTGAAAATATGCATAGGATTGCAGTCCAAGACATCAAAGGTGTGTTGATCTTGTTTCCTCAAGGAAAGGAAATGCTTAAAGCATGGAGTTTGACAATTTTAGTGACTAACAGTGCCATCCTAAGCAGAGTTACATCCTTCTAGGTCCGTTGATTTTACTAGACTTAGGCGTAATTCTGCATAGGATGGCGCTGTTTGGTGCTCTTTGTAGGTGCTCTTGTAGGAAGGCTAAACTACTGGGTGCAGTGTAACTTGGAAGGCTGTATACTTTGTTTCAATTCAGCCCTTGTTCTCTTGTTTACATATTAATAAAAAAGGTTACCAGCAAAATCCCAGAGCCCCATAATTATTGGATTGAAATTCTATGGATGTTTATCTTCTTTCTTCTGTTTCTAGTCCCACCACAGCTAAAGCTAGAGAGACAAATAATACACAAGAGTTCTGATTATAATACAGTAGAGTTTCTAGTAAGGGTTTTTAGATGTAGCTGTTATGTAAATTGTGACGGCATTCTGAAGTACCCTTTAATTTAAACCTTTGAAAGTTATATTGATCAAGCCTCCCACTCCACTTCAGGGCATTTCACTTGGATATTTCAGATGCTGCTTATTTCCATGGATTAATTAGAGCCGAACAGCTGTGGGATCACCATCTTGTACTTGGAATATAAGCATGTTATTTTTTATATAAAGAACATGGGCAGCTACCTACACAGAGCAGTGATATGGGGGGTCAACATTTTCCCACAGTTAACTGTTTCTCCATGGAAAATTTTCTGCCCCACATATATGAATTTAACAAAATTTGAGTCCAGTGGCACCTTTAAGACCAGCAAAGTTTTATTCAAGGTATAATCTTTCATGTAGAAGCTGCGGTGGCTCAAGTGGTTAAGATGCTGAACTGCAGGCTGTGGAAGGTCAGTAGTTCAGCAGTTCGAGACCCGAGTTGCTGCTTGATGGAGTGAGCTCGCGTCTCTAGTTCTAGCTCCTGCCAACCTAGCAGTTCGAAAGCAAGAAATTGCAAGTAGATAAATAGGTACCACTTTGGTGGGAAGGTAACAGCGTTCCGTGCGCCTTGGTGTTTAGTCATGCCAGCCACATGACCATGGAAGTGTCTTCGGACAGCGCTGGCTTTTCGGCTTTGAAACGGAGATGAGCACCACAACCCAGAGTCAGGCTCGACTGGCTTTCGAGCAAGGGAACCTTTACCTTTAATCTTTCATGTGCACACACACTTCTGATATCTGAAGCGGTGTGCATGCACATAAAAGCTTATACCTTGAATAAAACTTTGTTGGTCTTAAAGGTGCCACTGGACTCAAATTTTATTCTGTTACTTCAGAACAATGTGACTACCCACCTGAATCTATATATAAATTTAGTTTCTGTTTATCTATAGCCTTGTGAGTGGTTTTGCTGCAAATCAATAATTGTTTGATGGGCTAAATGTTGAATGTGAAGCATTTACAAACCCAGTGCTTCATTCATTTTCTCATGGAGGTACTGAAAAATGACAGTCCCTCTTGTTTACAATGCAGTTGGCTTAGAATTGCCGGGTCTGGGTTGGAAAATACCTGGGGACTTTTGGGGGTGGATCCAGGAGAGGGTGGGGTTTGGGGAGGGGCCTCAGCATGGTACAATGCCATAGAGTCCACCCTTCAACGCAGCCATTTTCTCCAGGGGAGCTGATCTCTGTCAGCTGGAGATCAGTTGTAAAAGTGAGAGATCTTCAGGCTCCCACCTGGAGGCTGGCAACCCTAAACTGTTGACTCATGGCTCTGGACCAGACTTGTCCATGTATTTGCCTTTTGCTGTTGTTCAGTAACCAGCTGAAGCAAAACTGAAACTAAAGCTATGAGTACTTGTTTCACTTTCCTCAAACACACAGAGCAGTGCCTCATTTTTTCTCTTGAACTGGGGAAGGTAGACATGTCTGCATAAGATTTATACGTTTTTGAGTGCTTCTGGTTATTTTGAACTTACATCTCTGCTCCTTGGAAAGCTGGCAAGTGTGTAGAAGTTGGCATTTACCTTTGGTAAGCTTAGATAATCAGGAATGTTTTCCAGAGTCTGAGGGGAACCCCCCTTATTTTTCTATTGGAGTTAATAACACAGATCAGAAAAATTGGTGAAGCCTTTAAAGCTAAATTGTTGGCTGATATAACTTTCTTTGCTCTTAAGGAAAGAAAGAGAAATTACATGGTCTGATGTGTACAGAAGGCATAAGAAATTGATACCCTGTTAGTTTACAACTAGATGTAAAGCCATTCTGTATTGTGCTTTGGTGAAATGGTAACCTGACATAAAATAAAAATTGAAACTGTCCTGATGTTCAAAGATTATTTTGCCATTTCAGCATTTCTTCTTTCTCTGGGATTTTGAGTGAGGGTAATGCATTCCTTTTATTGATCTGAAAGCTCTTTGTTAGCTTTCTCCCCCACAATGGTACTCATTGCTATTTATTTTCAGAATTTGCCCCAACCCTCTCTGGGTTAAATTAATCATTGCTGGCAAGAATTTCCGGTGAGAGTTGAGTGACTCAGCTGAATTCCAGTTAGTCAGCTTAACAAATTCACTCTTAAGTTCTTGTCTCAACATGTCACAGGGGACTTCCATGCTCAGAGGATCTGAACAGTAAGGATTACTTGGGTCTGCATTTCAAAGAAGAAATTCTGAGATGGATTTCTTAAAAATGAGAAAAGAAGAGTATAACTGAGCAGTCTGAAAGATCCAAAACTAGAAATTATAGTTTTTGGCAAGACAACTTAGAAGATTGTCCACTTGACCAGTGGTTTAAAGATTTCTGATATTAGTTATCAAATTTAAAAGGTAATAACAGTTTTGGTCCAGTGCTTTAGACGTCTTGCATTTTGGGAGGTATCATCAGGATGCTGCATCTTGTGTTTTGTACCAGATGGCTTTCTAGAGCTTCTGAAAAGTACACATAGTTATAACATAGTTCTGTATGCTTTTTCTTTCACAGTAATTGCTAAATCTAATTTCTTTTTTCAGATTTGTACTATAGATAGCTACTTCACTGCCACAATGACAACTTTTACTTCAACACAATATATGCCATCTGAGAATGCCTGCAGAACATCATTTGGGCAAATTAAACAGGTAACATATCTTGATATTGGGTAGTAAAACCAAGTTGAAGAACTCTTTGATTTTAAGGTATTTGACTTTTCTAATGGTTACCTATTCATCAGCTTAGAAACAGCTGATAAGCAGTGCTCCTTGGTGTAAAAAGGTATTTGAACATACAAGAAGGTGTGTTATCATGTACATTGACGTCTATAATTTATTTAGGATTTTTTCCTCATAAGGCTTGGGTTTCATGAGGTTGGATGCTAGTGATAATTTTGATACATGTAGTGTTCCAGACTTTCAGTTGTGAAATGTGAAATATATTTTGTCAGATTCCGTGCCTGGTTTGCTGCTTTTAGTTTAAAGAACAGAACTCACAATTATCTCATTTGTACTGTCAGGTTTAAAGGTTGATAGATAGCCTTTATTAGATAGATCCGGAATATATCTGAGTCAAAACATTATAACAGATTAATTCCTTTAGAACAGTTTAGTCCAGATTTCCTAACTGGATGTGGGAGTAGAATATCTTCCTATACCCTGTAGTGTTACTTCTAAATAATTTGCAAGATCTGGTTTATGTTTAAGTGGTTTGTGACATGAAAATAACAGTTGCTTTATACATTAGGTACAGCCAAAACTGCCACTCCTGAAGATTCTGCGAACTGCAGGTGCTCAGGGTGAAACTTTCACACTAAAGGAGGTGAGTTTATCTTTAGGTTATTCTGAACTCAGAAGGTAATTGTTGGCTGCCCAAATGATACTACTTGCAGTGTGAGGAAGGAACCCCGGATTTGGGGCCCAGAATTTTATTTGCTGTTCATTCCTAACCTAAGGACAGTAGCTGTGTAGCTCGAACCAAAGCAAATCCTTGCCAAGTATGAGAAGTCTTCCTCTGCCATCATTCCTCATAGGAAACCGGTGTGTGTGTGTGCGTGTGTGTGTGTGTGTTTCTTATTTGTCTCATATTTAGGATACTAGAATAGCAGAAGGCCTCAGTATCTTCAACATAATGTTGACGGGGTGTATTTTTCTTTGAATTTGAAGTGGGCCTTCCACTCCATAATTTTTACCTCCATTTTGTCATCGCTGACCATTTGACACAAGATTCTCTTCCAGTTTTGGATTCTTTGGGAGTGTGTGTGTATGGGGGTGGTTGTTTTTCTCCACTGCTACCTATTTGATCTCTTGCTGATGAATGGTATACTGGTTTCATAATTCTGCAAGTTTAAAACACTCAACATTACACTTTGTGGGCAAAGTGCTGCAGGGTCAGATTGAGAGAACAGAATGTGAGTGAAGATGCTGAAGACTATTTCTAATTGTCCTTAAGCAGTCATCTGTTAGCATTTGAGGCATGAAGCTTGAAATACTGTGAGTTTGGGGTTATATCACAACCCCTCCTGTGATTTGCATGCAAAATAGAGGAGTTCAGTGCCACGAGCACCTGTGTATTTATCAAAAGGTTTTGAGAGCCTGGTATGCAGTCTGCTACAAGAGCACAAAATCCAAATTAAACCTCTGTTATACACCATGTAGTTTAGGGATATCAGAATTAGCTTTAAGCATAAGGAAAAAAATAGTGCATGGTTGTGTGCCTTAGGGATTGCTAGAGATGTTGTCGGCTTTTTCTTGTTGCCAAATGATGCTTGAAAGTTTTTAAATTATACTTTTTATTTTCTCTCATTTTATTTCAAATGTCTTGTCAGCTAAACCACAGGGCACTGTGTATAATCATTTCTATTAAGATTAAAATGCAAAGTGTGTACAAGATTAGAAAAATGACAGTGGCTGTGATTTACTGGAGTAGCATGTCAGCTAGGAATTAAATGCAGTGGTTTTTCATTAGGAATGTGTCAGATACTCCTGCAGAGCTGTGTGACTTATTTTAAACACTTATGCATTTAAATAACTTATTTAGCTTCTAATATTTTAGCAAAAAATAAATTGAATACTTTAAATAGAAGGGGTTTCAGTGTTAAAATGTTAATTTGCTATAGCCACCCACATTTAGAATAGTAAGGACCTCTCCCCCTGCAGTGGGTAGAAACACTGCTAGCGGCTCTTTGTTTTGTGTTTATTGCCTCTGGCTGACAACCTTTTTTTGCTGCTGATAAAGAGAGAAGACAGGATTTTATGCATAATGTTTGAAAGATGAACCACTTGCGTTTTATATTTGCTGTGATACAACTGCACCATTTGGAGTCATTGGGTCTGGGTTGTATCTAAGCCAGTGACAGTCTGTTTGAACAGTATCTGAAATTTAAACTTGCATATAAGCAACTCCAGTGGAGAGGGTGGTAGTCTGTGTCCAGTAGCAGTTTAGGTAAATCTTGTCTATCAGCTGTTGCCACTGCTATGCTTCAAAGAACATGCTGTGGTAAAACTGCTGAAGGAATGGGGCACTGAACAGGGTCATGAATGAGGTACCACCCAGGAACTATGTGAAAGCTATTTTGTGTATATAAGAAAAATTGGGTCTTTTGTAACAATGTGTTTTACTTGTGGCTCATGGATATGCATAGTGGTTCATAGATAAGTATAGTGTTAACCCATCCACCTACACATCTCAATAAGAACTGAGTATTTATTACTCAGTGCAGTATGTATATATCCGGCCTAGACTGAGCTGACTGAAATTGAATCCAACAGCCTAGACTGAGCTGACTAAAATTGAATCCAACAAAGACTGAAGTCCTGTGCCTGAGCCGGGGCGGTCTGGGGGTAGGGATCCCACTCCTAGCCTTCGATGGGGCACCATTGGTACCAGCGCCGGAGGTTAGGGGTTTGGGAGTGCGCTTGGATGCCTCCTTAACAATGGAGGCCCAGGTAGCAGCCACGGCTAAGTCAGCCTCTTATCACCCCCGGCTGATTAGGCAGTTGGTTCCCTTCCTTGACTGCAACAACTTGGCAACAGTGATCCATGCAGTGGTCACCTCGAGATTAGACCACTGTAATGCTCTTTACATGGGGCTGCCCTTGTCGCAAATCTGGAAACTGCAGCTAGTGCAAAATGCTGCGGCCAGGCTTCTGATGGGCCTCCCCATGTGGGAGCACATCCAGCCTGTCTTGAAGGCATTGCACTGGCTGCTGATAGCCATTATCAACAACAACTAAAATTTATAGAGCCCTGGCCCTTGGTTTGCTATTGACAGCCTGTGCCTGCCAATTAGATCTGGGTGAAAGATCAGCGAGCTGAACATCTAGATAATGTATTGAATGCACTCATATGGTAATGCCATCATTATGAAATTTAAACAACACTGCTAGCACTTTATGATACTGCACTGTTTTATAATGAATTGTTTTTAGATGTTTTTATGGTAATTTAATTGTTGTTTATGCATTTACTTTTATGTAAGCCGCCATGAGCCTGCCTTGGTGGGGAGGGCAGGGTATAAATTGGAATAAATAAATAAATCCTATGAGATCTGCCTCAGATTTCTCAGAGAGTTACATCAAAATAACCACTGTTGACTACCTCATCTCAAACCACTGATTTATAGTTATTTCATCTTTGAGAACAGCAGTTGCATTCTGGTGTAGTACATTCAAGGGCTGTAGTCTAGGTAGTAGTATTCCATTTGGCGGAGAACAAATATGTAACAGTTGTTTCAGCTATTTCAGGTTTACTAGAAGGAAGGGAACACAATTTTCTGTTACAATTGCAGATATCTTAATGGACTAAATTAATGGAAGTATGCCTTTGCTAAATCATTCCAGACTATACTAAGCAACACTAATTTCCATTCAACTAGCCCATACGGTTGTAGGGGACAGTACAAAGTCGCACATTCGAGCAAGGCACACATTCAGCCTCCACTCCATTATTTAAAAGCATGAGAAAAGGCTCAGTTCATGCAGAATGCCCAGCCTTCGCTTGTTGCTATGTGAGTGAGTCTTAGAGCTCACATGATCCCTCTTCCCCCTGTGGTTGACCAGCTAATGAATGAGTTCTGCTTTTGTGGTGGTGGAAAGTGCCATCAAGTCAAGGTTGACCCCTTATGGTTTTCAAGGCAAGAGACATTCAGAGGTGGTTTGCCCTTGCCTGCCTCCATGACCCTGGTATTCTTGGGTAGTCTCCCATCCAAATACTAGCCAGGGCTGACCCTGCTTAGCTTCTGAGGTCTCATGAGATGGGGCTGTCCTGGTCAGGGCTCTGATTATGTAGTGGATGGGAATCATCCACTAGCTGGCTGCACATGAGGGGAGGGAGCATGGGGGTTCCTAGAGTCTCACATATGTAGCATCCAAACTAAGCCTTGGTATATGGATTGGCTCATATGCAGTAACAGTAATAATAACTACTAGAAGTTTATTCAAATTGGGGTTGAATTTAAGGGCTCGTGCGTAGGTAGGAGACATCTGAGAATACTCTACTTGCATTTCAGTAGCTGAATCGTCACCTTTTCACAAGCAGCAAACTCACTTTGCTGTGATATCACTTTGTCAGTTGGACTTCTGTCTGTTGCTGAGTTGACTTGTGTAAACTTTCTTGGTTAAATTTAAATTATTCAGATTATCACTTAATAAGGTTATAATTTAGTCACTTTACGAGATCAGGGGTCAGTTAACTCACAAAATTGTGCTATATGGGTGGTAACCATATAGAAATAATGTTTTTAGAGAATAGAAAACGGCCTTTATTTTGTGTAGTTATTGAAGCAATTGAGATAAGCCTTACTGATTTAATATATGATGCAGGTGTAACTGAGGTTGTTTTTTCTATCTAGATTCTACATTACCTTGGAGAATATATCATTCTGAAGCAGTTATATGACAAGCAGCAACAGCATATCGTGTATTGTCGAGGAGACCAGTTGGGGGATCTTCTAGGTCTTGACAGTTTCTCAGTGAAAGATCCAAGGTAGGGTGCTTCAGAAATATACATAGGGATGTATATGTTATACCTTTTGAACAGGGGATCCAGTGGCAGTTCCCTTTCAGTTTTGGGGACGTAGATGAGAACTGAGGAGCAACTCCCCTCCTCCCATGATTAAAATCATGTAGAATGCCTTTGGGGATGCATATGCTTGACATCTACTGTATTTGACGTATTTACCAAGTGAAACTGCATTAGTCTGTTGTAATCAAATCAGTGATCTCTTGTTGTATGTTAAATACTAACATAGTTGTAGTGGCATAAGGATTTGTGAGCTAGTGCTTGCCTCTGTGTGAGCATGCACATTCATGCCTATATATGTGCACATGTTTGTAGAAATAGAAGGAAGGGGGGAGAGTTATTGCAGAGGGAGGCCAGAAGGTCTGCGTACCAAGGCACAGATATGTTTGAATGCTAAGGAGGACATGCTGGAACAAGTAAAGCGATCCAGAACTGGTGGGGACTGCTCCCTAACGCTGATGAATTGGCAAGTAAAATGAATGATTTCCATGTGAAGAGAGTCAATTGCTTACTCCATTTAGCTAATCTCTTCTGGTGCTGAGTCCAAACCCTACATATGTTTCACTACCACAGCTTTATGCTGCTGCATCTCTTTGAAACTCTTTTGGGGAAGTATGAACACCTTAAAGTCTGCCGTTGAATGTTCAGCAGGTTGAAATCCTACCTCATTGCTTTCTGGGCAGTTCCATTTTTAATGCCTGACTTGCATTTACTTATTCTCTTGAGGGGACACAGTCCAAGTTGACCCACTGTATTGTATTTTGACCTTGATTCTCTTATACTAATAACTTTGCAGTACTCTTTAAAGGTTTGGGTAAAAGGTTCGATAATTGCTGTGAAGATTTTAGTAATGTAGACGGTTGCAAGTACCTTATAACACAGATTTGCAGGAGTGTTTGTCTAATCCTTTAATGAACATTACCACTGAACTATCATATAAAATATTTAGTAATGTAGTTCTGTAGTACTGCAGTACAGACCATCACATATTACTTGTCCTCTGTTCCTGCCTCTGCATATGTAGAAAGATTTTTTGTTGAATGATTGCTTTGTAGTGGGGATGTTGAAGACTTAAATACAATGGGGGCATATTATACTTTGCAGCATTATACTGGTAGTATGGTGGGTGGGGAAGAAGATTTGAACTCCAATTTATACACTGATTTCCTGTGCTCTGGGAGGATAACAATCATGTATTCTGCATCTTCATGAATAATGGTTATCATATGCTGCCCTTGCCCATTTCTTTGTTCTTTACTGTGTTACTTTCAGTGGTATGCACAGTCAGATTCCTAGTTGCAGCAATGCAAGTACTGCTCATATATGCCAGTTTCTGGTACCCAGCAGGGCTTTCTGTTATGGGTGCTGGTGGTGTTGTGCTAAGCAACCATGTAAACTGGTATGGTGGTACTTGCGTATGATACAATTGCAATTGGAATCCTTGCCAGGTAGGAGAAACCTTTGGATAGAGCCCATCCTGCAGATAGTGCATCAATCTGGCCTTTAGTTTTCGTAATCTCACTTCAGACTGGGTCTGCTCATGCAGTATAATGAGAGTACAATGGACTGAGTAGGTTGTGTTACATGGGAGCACCACTTTGGATTTCCCCCTCCTGCATTAGAAAAATAAAACAAACCTCCTTGCAAATAAAGTAGTTTATAAGGAGAGAGAGTCTAGGCTGGCTTGCTGGGCTGCCTTATTGTTTGCCCAGAACTTTTAACATAGGGAAGCATTAAATGTGATCTTCCTGCAGTTTAGAGATGCATTCCATTGTGTCACCTCATTCTGTATAGACCAGCCCTCAGAAAAGCAGTGTGACACCTAATGTTTGTTCAAGTCATTGGCCTGTCAATTTTATTGAACCCTTCAATTTCCCTTGTTTATGCTCATTGTCTTATTGAGATGTATCGCAAGCTCTCTTGCTGTATGAGGACTAGGTTCCTGTGTGTATGTGGGGGGATGTGCATATAGAGTGATAATTCTTGGTATGCCAAATTTTCTGTTGTCTAAGAAGTGTGATACCTGCATAAATCATGGATGTGGTGTTTTACCTGTTGTGGTCTGGTTATGTTCGCAGCACCTGTTTTCTTTAGGAACTTAGTGCATGGATGGAGAATTTATCTGCTTATTCTTCAGAAGCAAAAATTAAAATGAAATCAATTAAAAATAGCTGAATTGACTTGCAGGTATTGCTTTCTATTGCTTCTCTGGTTACTGCACACAGGACAGTGTGTCTTATCATTGAGCCCCTCTGCTTGACACAAACCATGTATTAATTTCAGCACTTTGGATAGCTTGACCTGCATAGTGATCAAAACAGAGAAGATACTATCCTGTGTCTCTTTTTTCCCCACAGCCCAGTTTTTGACATGCTGAAACGGAATGTGACTTCTGCTACTGTTACAGGTAGGTTTGTTTTTAGTATTAGTTGAGTTTATTCAATGTTATGTAAAATTTGATATCGGTAAGTAACACTGAGAAGTCTTTGCATTGAAATGAGCTGCTGCTGACATCACTGAGAGGGCTAGGGAACATGTAGCCCTCTCCCACTAGCCGTACATTGCTAATGAAAATACATGCTTTACTTGACATGTGGGATCAGAAGTAGGACTAGAAACAAATTTTTGAGACTTTGTGAATGATCAGAGCAATGAGTACAATAGAGGCAGTCCAGTGAATGTTGTCTCTGATGGGGCTAAGCATTACACTGTAGAAACAGTCTATTCTAGAGGCGCTTTAGTGCCTTTAACGTTTGGAGTGGGAGGAAGAATCCTACTTGTGGCTGAGATTCAGCATGTATGACTCTACTATGTCTTCAGTCCCTGCGCTGGTGTATAGGGCTTGCAATGATCCTTCATGTCATTTGGTGCCTTTTGTTAGTGTTACTTCTGGTAATTGCTAATTTTTTGGCCTCTTCTTTGATATGATTCTCTTTACCTTCTTTCCATAAGGTACATGCACAGCTGTCCTAGGTCAGTTAAGATGATTGGTCTATTGAGCTTAAAACTGATTACTCTTCTGACAGATGCTCACCAGTGTCTCAGGCAGCTGTTCTTAGCAGTTGTGGCCTGAGATGCTGGGAGCAAAATCAGGGACTATAAGACATGTCCTAGCACTTTTGAAACCAACAAGATTTCTGGAGTGTATAAGCTTTCAAGAGTCAGACCTTTGACTCTCAAAAGCATATACCCCCCAAATCTTGTTGGTCTCTAATGAGCTACTGGACTCTAGCTGTTTTACTGTGGACCAGCACAGCTACCCTCTGAAAGCACGTGTTCTATCACTGAGCGATGGCCAATTCCATTATTTGTACCTGGAAGCTGGCTTACCTCAGATTCTGTCAAGCCCAAATACTAAAATGTCAGGTGTGGATGTACATAATAAGTGCATAATAAGTGGACATTATTCTGTGGTGCTTACCTCCATTTGAATGATTGTGAATGTCTCACTCATTAGTTTAACAACACTATAAAAAAAAGAAAAGAGAGACTGCATTTGGGGTATATTTCTACCCCAAGCCAAATTCCAATATATCTTGGGTTAGAAAAGGTTCCACAGAAATAAAAATATTTATGAGGGCAAAAGTAATTGTGTTTTACAGTACTAAAGCATTAGGAACAGTACTAAAGCATTAGGAACTTGAAATCAAACTTTAACGTGAGGCAGAACATTGCTTTTGATAGATCAAACCCTCTCTTCTAACATATTCCCACCAGATAACTCTAATTCTAACACTCCCACCAGATAACTCCATTACACACACACACACACACACACAAATTGAAATAAGGAAAACTCTATCTTGGAACTAAGATATTAGAACACTAACAAACTTTCAATTAATTTTAAAGGAAAACATTTAAAATTAATAATTTCTAACGTTTTTGTATCTTGGGGTATTTTCTACTCCAAGAATGTATCTTTGTGGTGAGGTAAATATTCTCCAGGTTATCAGGAAAGACTTTATCTCTCTAGAGCACTTAAATGTTTTTCTGAATCAATATTCTCTTCTATACATGGGTATTGTTTTTATTCCAGTATGTTAGATGGGCTTGGGGTAAAAAAAATACCCCTGTTGCAAAGTATATTGATTTCTGAGTGGTTTTGTGCTCTGGGTGAATTTTTGCTTACAGAAAGTGAACTGTGTTAATTGGCTGTACTCTGGGGACATTGTCATAGGTGTAGTAGTAAACAATGTCTTAAGAGGGCAAAGTTGCACACCTATTTCTAGGCTGTACAACTGGAGTAGGAAATTCACCTTAGGCGTATGGGCAGGGTTTGAATTCAACCAAAGAAACAATCACTGAACGTTTGTTGTTATGCTGACCCACAGCAACAACATATCCATGAGGATTTTCTCAGGTTGAAAGTGAGTGGTTACATGAATTTACCTTGAGTGTGGTTGAGTGTGCACATGTTGCCAAAGCAAACCAGGTTTGGCAGCCCTAGCCTGTGTATTGCATATTTGTAAAGATGTTGGCTCCCAACAGCTCTACGGTGTTTTATGATTTCAGAACGCCTCATGGCTTTTGTGGTACCATATATTTACTAGCAGGTGATTACTTATTAATGCTCTGTATTCTATGTGGTTAGGGGCTGTGGTGGCTCAAGTGGTTAAGATGCTGAACTGTGGACCGGAAGGTCGGTAGTTCAGCAGTTTGAGACCGGAGTGCTGCATGATGGAGTGAGCTTCCGTCTGTGGTCCCAGCTCCCGCCAACCTAGCAGTTTGAAAGCAAGAAATTGCAAGTAGATAGATAGGTACCACTTTGGTGGGAAGGTAACAGCATTCCGTGCACCTTGACGTCTAGTCATGCCAGCCACATGACCACGGAAATGTCTTTGGACAGCGCTGGCTCTTCGACCTGGAAATGGAGATGAGCACTGCAACCCTAGAGTCAGATTCGACTGGCTTTCGAGCAAGGGAAACCTTTACCTTTACCTATTCTATGTGGTTAATGCAATACTATTCAGAAGTAGTTGTTGCAGGCATATAATGGGAACAAGACTCATAATATTTTGAGTTTTAGAAAACATGAATGTCAGGATTGAGACTAGACCATGGGATTATAAAGTGGTTCTGGTATGTGGGTATAAAATAACCTAATCCGTCAGATTTATGGAAAACAAGGGAATGGCTTGCTGTAGGTACTCTGAAGCTGTAATCTGTGAAAGACTGTCTCACAGATCGTTTGTCTGTCAATCAAAGAATCCCGAGGCATAATGAAAGGGTTTACATGTCCTGAGATTTTCATCTCCTCCACTTCCCCAGTCTCCTTGTTAGAGGATGTAGCTGTTTACAGGGTGTCTGAGACAACTTCTGAAGTGGTTTAATTAGTGGGTATTTGTAGTGGGCTCAGTCTTACTGCATATCGTGGGGCATCAGCTCAAGGGCTTTTGAATTTGACATCTAAGTAGCATAGGGGCTAAGAGGGGTGCAGAGAGCATTTTTCGAATGCTGCTGATAAAAATATCAAGTGGACTGTGATAAAGTAAGGAAGAAACAGAACACAACTGTGTATATGTAGGTTAGGAAGGCAGAGCATTATCAGATTTTGCATGATCTTTATATTTGGATATGCTGACTTTGGGGGCAAAGAGATGTACTGCTGCTTTTCAGTTTTTCTACAATTCTACCCTTTAAGCCCGGTTTTACCCCTTTGAGGTCAGTTGGGGGCGGGATGATGCTAATCTGATACATGCTTGGAGTTGAATGGGTGGTGTTAGCACAGAATAGAACTAGCAACTAAGTGGAGGCTGAATAATGGGAATAGTGCACTGATTATACAATGTTGGTAGAAGGGCTAGTACACAGTGCTTATTCTTTTATATGTTACTATTAGTGTGGTTCACTGTCAGTGTGGTATAAGTCTGGAACATGAGCCAAGACCCATTTTGGAAAAAGAGCAGATTTTTCTGTAGTTAGTGTGTTCTTCATGATTAAATCTGCAAGTTAAATTTGCAGTATTTGGAAAGTGGGAGGAAATATGCTATTTTTTAAAAGCAGCCTGGCTTTTGGTCATTTTCCACCAAACTCAAGTTACAACACCTATTTTTGCTGCTTGTACTACAAAGTTACTGTGAATAGAATCTTCCCAGTGTATGTACTGAAGGTAAACATCATTCATGTTGCCTTTCAGCCATTGCAGGGCATGTACTTTTTCTAATATTGAGATTGTTCTCAGTGTTGGAAGATGCAGCTTTTGTGAAATGGTCTGGAGACTCATCATTAACCAGACGAGTGACCAGTATGGCTATCTCCCTATTCTTGCTTATCTATCTCTGGTTAGTTAACTGGATGAGTTTTGTGTATACTTACATTGGGGCTTAGAGCAGCTGTTTTTGCATGATCTTCACCCTCTTACATTTCTGGGGCCCTTTTTAGAAGCCGTGCTGGGGCTAAACCCTTGGGCTGTCTGCTATGACAACTCGATGTTGCATTCATGAATCCATTCAGGCACAGAAATTGGACTCTGCACTGGAAGGGTCCTTCTGGCTTCTTCTTTCAGAGCCTCCTCTAAAGCTAGGTGTTTGATGCTAGATAAGAGAAGATCTGTCACTCTTCATTGCCTCACCTCAGAGCACCCATGAGCATTTGAGGACATTTGTTCCACTGAATAACTGAGCTTCTGGAAGGATGGAGGCTTTGCTGTTGCAAGGGAGGATTTCCAGTGTAGCTAGTTGGTGACTTTGTCTTCCTACCAGGGTGCCATAAACTAGCTAATGTATCTTCCATGATGACTCAGGGCCCCTATTTTCCACTTGAAAACTGAGGAACTGAAAACATCTAGAAATTCTTTCTTCTGTGTGTCATGGAACCTACAGCAGCTTGAGTCACTGTCCCTGAAGGTCTGAATGAAAAGTAGTAGGCCAGAATGCGACTCATTCAGAAAAGGCAGGAAACCCATTCTCTAAATGTGAGCACCTAGGAAATGGGGCAGTGTTGCTGGATGAAAAAAACTATATCCTCATTTGTCTTAACACTTTTTGCCCACAGTTGTCAGGCTTGGTTTGTTGGTTGCTTGTCAAGGACCCCTCAATGTTTGTGAGAATGGTTATTACCGGGGAAGGTTTTTTCTTTTATTTTACCTGCTGTCTAGATGCTGCACAGACTCATGCTCTCGCAAAGGATCAAAGCGTGGATAATCCAAGCCAAGATCACCTGAAGGTAAACCCAGTACTGGGTGGTTTCTTTTGTCGTACAGAGTGACCCTTCTCTGTACCTGTGCACGGTGGACTGCCAGAACTTTTGACTTGCTTGACTGGTAGGCTTTTGCCTTCCTCAGAAGTTCTCAGGAGTCCACAGACCAGGGACAGAGTGACCATTCTCTGTCTTAACAGAGTTCCATTCTCTGTGTGTGTGTTTCCGGGGTGTACCACTTCTTGTCCTCAGTCACATCAGCTTGCTCTGTTAACTTGCTGGGTAGGATTTTTTGTCTTTCCTAGTCTCTCTTTGGAACAGAGATAGTGTTTTAGAAAACATCCCAGTCTGGATTTGCTTAGTAGCAGCCTCCTTCTAATACCCTAGAACAGTGATGGCGAACCTTTTAGAGACTGAGTGCCCAAACTGCGACCCAAAACCCACTTATTTATTGCAAAGTGTCAACACGGCAATTTAACCTGAATACTGAGGTTTTACTTTAGAAATAACAACTCATACATTAACTTAAGATGATCCAAACAAAGTAAGGAAAGCAATCCCAAATGCTTTCATTTACTTAAAATTATTTGGCAGAGAATTCGACACTTTAATGATGGTCTGGGCCTAGCTGGGGTGATGGCACGCGTGCCCACAGAGAGGGCTCTGAGTGCCACCTCTGGCACCCGTGCCATAGGTTCGCCACCACTGCCCTAGAAAATTTTAGCATAACTTAATTTGTTTTTACATTGGGTTGAATTAGCTCAACAGCAAAGAAATACATCTGATTTGGGATGGAGGTAAGGAGATTAATGTCAGTATCAGATCACAGATTTTAAACTTTTGTCAGTTTTGAAGATTTTTCCTGTGTTTCAGCTGTTTTACTCACATGTTCTTTTTGATCCTTGGCAGTATTCTCAGACAGTTAATAATGTGTTCATGTGTACTCAAACTTTTATTGTTTAACTACTTGGTGTTGCTCTGCAGCTGGTGACTCAGAAAGGAAGTGTTACATCCCTGTGTCTCTATAAGTTCTGATGGGCTAATGAGTATCTTTCTTTGCTTTAAGCAGAGTAGTACAGAGAGAGCTTGCAGCGCTGGACAATCAGCCATGTCTGACTCCAAAAACACATGCGAAGAAGATAAAGGTAAGTATAAGATGTGTGAAATGGAGACAAAGCATGATCACTACATTGTGGGTTGTTGTCTCTCTCACTTGCTGGCATATTCCAATCTGTTTTTGGCTTGTCTGTTTGATAAAAGTTGTAATCAGCCATATTTTATTCTTGTTTGATAGAGAACCTTTCAGAAAAACAGCACACATTAGATCTAGTGCTTGAAGAATGGGATATAGCTGGTCTTCCATGGTGGTTTTTAGGTAATCTGAGAAACAATTACAAGTCCAGAAGTAATGGCTCAACAGATATACAGACTAATCAGGTAAATATTGATCAATAGGACTTGTGTGATATGTGCAGATTATTCTTATAGGCCTCTTTCTAGGTTGATCCTTATTGCTGAAGTTTTCAGTATTTGATTTCATCTCTGGGTAAGTGGAATTAGGAATTGTTCCACTGTTCTGCATTATAGTCAGTGCAGGTAAGGATTCAGACATCCATGTTAGACTGCATGATTAGAAGGGACTTGATCTATCAAGACAATGAAAAAAAATGGGTGGGGTGGTGGCAGGTTGATCTTCGGAGTGTGCTTAAAACATGTTTTGGGCCCATACCCATCATGGCATTTAAAATCTTGCTGGGAAAAGATATTGACGCCATTAGTGAAAACCATCCATTCCACCCTGATTCAGGGGCTATCCATAGGCCTTTGAAAGAGATGGTTAGTAGATCTGTGCTCAAAAAACCTTCATGGTTAGGGATTAGGTGGCCAATTACAGGTCAGTCTCCAGTTTGTTTTCTAGGGAAGGTGATAAATTATGTGGTAGCTGAGAAGTGCCAGGGCTTCCTGGATAACACTTCTGCACTTGACCAATTTCAATCTGGTTTCAGGCTGGGGTTTGGTACTGAGACAGCTGTAGTTGCATTGGTGGATGATCTTCATTTAAAATGGACATGGAACAGTCTTCCCTGTTGATACTGTTGGATCTCTCAGTGGCTTTTGACACAGTTGACTACTCCATTCTTATCCTCCATCTTGAATACAGAGTTGGTGTTACAGGCATAGCCCTTTGGTCCTGACAGGACACAAACAATCTCCGCTGGAGGTGCAAAGTCACTTGAGTGGAACTGGTCTTGTGGATTGCCACAGGGTTCTGTTCTTTTACCCATGCTGTTTAATGTATGTACATGAGACTGCTAATGAGATTGTCCAGACTTTGGGATTAGGTGTCATCAGTATGCAGATGACACCCAACTCTATAGTTCATTATCCAAACCTCCTGGAATGTTACCTAGACTTGGCTGATCTGGCCGTGGTGATCAATGCTTTTTGTAACCACATGTTTGGATTAATGTGCTTAATTAAAACCTTTTACTCGACTGGGTCCAATCTAATGCCATCATAGGGCCAGAACAAATTGGCTTCTCCAAAAATAAATAGAGATGGAAATTTTGAAGCTCGGAAAAAACCTCGTTTTTTCCCCATGTTTTTCCGGAAAAAAACGGAAATTTTCGGAAAAATTGAAAAAAATGCTACATTAGCATTTCTTTTGTCTTTTCTAGATTGAAAGTCATTCTGTTACTTTAGGAACATGAAATATGACTATGGACATTTTTACTTAGCATGAAATTATCACAACTAGCATATTAAAAATATAGTGTATCCAAACAATTATTACAAACAGAATACCCAACCACATGCAAAAACAAAACTGAAACTTTTTTACTTTCTTCTGACAATCACACCTCCTAAAGGAAGAAATGCATCTTGTTCTTGCATTGGAGAGTTCAGTTTGTAACCTAGGACTTGCTTGTCCTCAGTGCACAGAAATTAGATTAATCAGATACCATAAAAAAATATGAAGCTAGGTAATAAAAAACTCTTTGTAGCCTTCATAGACTTAAAAAGTGCCTTCGATTCTATCTCAAGAGAAAAACAATGGGAAAAACTGCTCAAACTAAGAATTGACTTACGTCTCCTATTCCTTCTGAAAAAATTACATGCAGGCACAACGAGTCAAGTTAAGTACTCTCCAAATGGTACACTGACCAATAAAATCCCATCTAAGAAAGGTGTTAAACAAGGATGTGTCCTTGCCCCCCTTCTTTTTAACCTATTTCTTTCTGATTTGGCACGCTCACTTGAGCTTGTGAATGGTCATCCACCTAAACTAGGAGACAAATCAGTACCCATCCTTTTATACGCAGATGATACTGCTATTTTATCTTTCACTAACATTGAACTTCAAAGATATTTAGAAGCCTTTAACAACTATTGCCACTCAAATCTACATAAAATCAACTATACCAAGACTAATGTGGTAGTATTTTTTTAAAAAATGGGTTCCCTACAATTGGCACATTGGCAATGTTAGAATTCAACAAGTCAAAAGTTATAAATACCTTGGTGTAACCTACAACTATAATCTCAGTTGGGCAACTCATAGAAGTAGGACTATAAAATTAGCAAGGATCTCTCTAAACAAACTTAGTTCCTTCTTTTTTGCCAACATCAATCAGTATGTCCCTGCTGCAATCAGAGTATTTAACTCTTAAGATTCTATCTCAGGTCCTGTTTGGAATCCCTATTTGGTTCACTGCCCTTAACTGAGATGTGGAGAACATCCAAGCAATCTTTCTTAGACAAATAATGGGTGTCCCCAAATGCGTGCCTTACTTTACAATCTGCTCTGAAGTTGGCCAAAATTTGATTGAGACCAAGGCCTGGATCTTAACGACACGCTACTGGCTCAGGATCTACTTTAGAGCTGAGCCGGGCTCCCTTTTATGTTTTTTTCAAAAAGAACTGCTTAATTCCTCCTGGGACTCCATAATTATATCTGAATTAAGTCAACTTGGTGTTCCTCTTGAAGACCTAGCCCTAACCAATGAACCTCATATTTTTAAACTAATCAAACAACGACTCTTAGATATTGATCTGCAAAAGTTACACTCTACCCAACCTCATATCTGTTCACCTGCCATGCTCAGCTTCTTTAACCATTTAGGCAAGATGCCCCAATATTTTTACAGCTTCTACATCCCTCTTCATCGCAGAGCTTTTCTTCTGGCCAAGGTTAACGCATTTCCCTCTAGAATACTCTGTGGCAGATACCATCAAATCCCAAGACAAGAACGGCTGTGCCCCTGTGATCTCAACTCCCTGGACACGATTGAGCATATAATTGTCAAATGCCCCCTGTATGAGCTACCTCACAGAAAATTCCTTCTAACTTGGCTCCTTCCTAAAAGTTATTTGAGTAACAAGTCAAAATGTCAACTTCTCTTGAATGATTTGATCCCTGAGATCACTAATGATGTTGTCAAATTTCTTACAGAAGTTCTTAAGGTACAAAATTTTAGATAGTATTATTTTGATTGTACTACATTTGTATGGAATCTTAGATTTTAATTTTACGAAACAATGTTTTATATACCTTACGACTGATGATATGCCAATAAATGTCTATGAACATGATTAATGTGCTTCACGTGAGGCTGCTCTTGAAGACAGCCTGGAAACTACAACTGGTCCAGCATGTGGCAGCCCAAATATTGTCAGGGGCTAGTCACTGGGAACATGTTACCTGTTTTGAAACAGCTACATTGGCTGCCAATTCCCCCCCCCCAAGTTCAAGGTGCTGGTTATGACTTTTAAAGCCCTTCAGAATCTTGGACCCACATATTTGAAGGACTGTCTCCTTCGATATGTCCCTGAGCGCCAACTATAGTCATTAGGCAGCCATCTGTTGGCTATCCTACCACTTAGGGTGGCTTTTCCGGCATTGACCAGAGGCCTTGCTTTCTCCATTGAGGCTCCAGCTCTGTGGAATGAGCTCCCTGAAGAGGTGAGGCACCCCCCTCCCTGAAGGCCTTCAGGAGGTACTGCAAGGCCTGCTTGTTTGCCAGAACTTTTGAAGGGGGGTTGAACAGCAGGCATCTTTTAAAGGAGGAGAGGGAGGGAGAGATTTGGGGGGTGTTGTTTTTTATTTTGGTTTTTACTGGAAATGTTTTAATTATTGTAAGCCACTTTGAACTATGAAGAAAGAAATGCTGTACATGCTTTAATAAGTAAAAAAATAGAATTTAGATTAATTAGGGGTATTACTGAAGTAAAGCTACTAATACTTGTCAGAAGTATTAGGGTACCTAGTTGATACAAGATCAAAAGCTGTGAGGACATAAATTGTTAAATCAACGTTGCATCTTGTCCCATGTGGCTGGGGGGTAAGAACACCACATATGTTGTTGCTGTACTTTAACACAATAATAACAAGAGCTGTATTTCTGCGAAGTGCTGTATGTCTTTACTTCTTCTCCTCTGTAGGATATAGACACTGCTGTTGTTTCAGATACTACTGATGACTTATGGTTTCTCAGTGAATCTGCTTCTGATCAGATAGGAATCACAGTACCAACAAAAAGAGTTGACTGTGAACAAGCGAATGAAGAGGGAGAAGAGGGTAGCAAATTGGTAAGGCCAAGACCAGTTAAACTATGGCTAAGTGACTGCATTGTATGTCCTAATGTATATAGATGGCACCTTTGTACTTAACGCTTTTAAAAAAGCAGAGCCACATTTAAACCAAGTTTATATGCACATTCTGACTCTTGCCACGCATGAGGTGACTGACAAATCACTTGATTTATGGTCAGTGTTGAAATCTCACAAACAACCATTCTTCTATATTGCAGTAGTTGGCAGGGGGTATTAGCTAGCTTTCTGAGTGATTCATTAAGTTTTTAACACAAGAACAAGAGAAATCTTATAGCAGTGATTTGACGGTCCATAAGATTAATGCAATTTCATGATTGGAGCAGAGTTAACTTTGCAGACCATTACAGGGAGTCTGCTGTAGAGTTGAGCAGAATCTGAGAACTGCGTCAGTAATGTTTGACCTTTGGCCCTGGGAGAGCTAGTCTTTTTATGTGACCTTTGGCCAGCTGAAATTAGTTCTCTGTAAAATGAATGTTGTGACCTAGGGACCCATTTTGAGGATAAATATACTACTCACATGCCCATTTAAAGGGTACAATGTGCAGATCACTTGGTTGAAATTGACTGTGGTATAGGTAGGGTTTTCAAGACTGGGTTTTGTTGCTAGCATATTTTATATTGAGGACTCATTTGGGTGTTATGAATTTCGTAAATGCAAGCTGCTTTTGTCCAGAAGAGTATAAAAATATGGGGTGTACATGATAATGGAATTCACATGTGGCTAGTTCATTGCGTGCTCATACAAATTGCATGTGTCTAGTAAGCTGAGTACCTGTGATCATCTGGAGCTTTCTAGCACATGTACACCAATAATGCAGTGCCTGTGATTTTACTGTAGCGATCAGGAGAGATTAATGATTTGTGGAACTTTGGGGAGTGGTGAATCTTTAGAAAATGCGTAATCTGCTTTGAGTGTCAATGAGAGGCCAACTATAAATACAGTAAATTTTTAAAACAATCCTTAGAAAATACTGATTTAGCCTTGGGTATTAAGATGATAATTTCAATGTGTGGTTCATTGTTGTTCATAATTGAGGTAAATAGAGCTGGTGTGTTTCAAAGACAGTAGTATGGCTTGCATATGCTTTTTTTTGTAATTGCAGGCAAGTGAAATTGCATCTTCTGATGACTTTGAAGATTCACAGTCTTTAAGCGATGATACAGACATAGATACTCCCTCCACGGTATGTACACTTGGGGTGTAGAGTTCTGAATTTGAGATGTGTCCATAATAGAAGTAGGAAGCATTTTTTGTCAAATTTTCTTTACTGCATCCTTTTAAAATGCTCTTTAAGCAACAAAATACAATGTATTTCTTGTCCTTTTGGTAATATATTCAGAAGTACAGGGATTGTCTATAATTTCTAGGGCTTTTGTTGGGTCTTCTGAACTAATGGTAACTGGTTATTTTTTAAGCATCCAAGTAGCCAAACACAGGCTGAGCCTAAGAAAAAGAAAACAATGATCTGCATAGCTCAGAAATCACAAACTGTGTGCGCAGTTGTATCTTGCCCTTCTAATTTCCTCACACTCTTCTCATGGAGACTCTGAGTCCATACTTCCTATAGAACTAGGTTGATCATGGTCTTACATCTTTAGAACCCAGGTGCTCAGTGGCTTGTTCTTAGCAAGGGAGAAATGGGAATAAGTGAAATAATAGTAAATCACAAACGGATGTCTCCTAACCTATGTCTATTGTGAGATCAAGCCTTTAAATTAATGGAAAATATCAAGGCTGCTAATTGTTATTTCCACAGTCAGGGGAGGCATCTAAAGATAAATCCCTGAGTGCTTGGAAATAACTCTGATTACATCCAGGTTAGATTAAGTCGCCCTGAGCCCACGTGCGGGGGTGGTGGTGGTGGTAATAAATGAAATTAAATAAATAAATAAATATTATTTCCCTGGGGGTAGGGGGAGCTGGCAGACTGGGTCTGGGAGACAGTAAATGCCTCCCTGACAGGCAGGGTGGTTGCTTCCGACTTGAAGTGGGCAGTGGTGCATCCACTCCTAAAGAAACCTACTCTATACCCAGGAGAATTGAATAATTACCCTCCAGTCTCAAATGTACCATTCTTGAGCAAGGTGACTGAGTGGTGGCTGGCCAACTTCAGGGATATCTGTGTAAAGCCGCTGGGAGAGGTCATCCAGAGATTTGGGCTGAATTGCCACCGGTGTGCAGGGTGACACTCGGCTCTATTTCATGCTACAAGCAGAAGAATCTGCTAAATAAATAAATATCCTAGGAAGACTGTGGAAGCTGTGAACAGGTGCTTGGAGATAGTTTTAGAATGGATGAGTGCTAACAAGCTGAGACTTAATCTTGACAAAATGGAGGCGGGGGAAGGTTTGATCCAGGAAATGGATTAGCTCCTGTTCTGGATGGAGTTGCATTCTCCCTGAAGGAGCAGATTTGTAGCTTGGGAGTGCTCCTGGACCTGGTCCTCCTGTAGGATGAACAAGTGGTAGCAGTGGCCAGGGGTGCCTTTCACCAATTTCAGCTGGTGAGCCAGCTGTGTCCCTTTCTGGGCGCAAAAGATTTTGCCACTGTGGTACATGCCATGGTAACATCTAGATTAGATTACTGCAATGTGCTCTACATGGGGCTGTACTTGAAGACAATCCAGAAGCTACAGTTGGTGCAGAGTGCTGTGGTCAGAGTGTTGACTGGAGTGGGTTGTACAGACCATATCACTCCAGTCTTGTTGGCTTCCAATTTGCTTCTGGGCTCAATTCCAAGGTACTATATGTCTTGAAGCCAGTATACCTTAAGGACCACCTTCTACCATATCAACATACCCATTTCACTCTGGTCATCTTTGAAGGTCCTGCTTCAGTTGCCCTTGCCATCAGAGGGTGGATTAGTATCAGTTACGGCACTAAAATTTTGGAACAGAGTGCCAGTACTGATGATGCTTCTTAAATTCCTTCCCCTTAAGAAGAGCAGTATGTGAGAATGCACTAATCTGTGGTTTGATTTAACTGCCTTTTTGTTTATCAGGACTGTTGGCAGTGCACCAAATGCAAGAAGTTTAACTCTCCCATCAAACGGTACTGTTTCCGTTGCTGGGCCTTACGGAAAGATTGGTTCTCTGACTGCCCCAAGCTGGTTCACTCTCTCTCCACATCCAATATTGCCACCATGCAAAGTAAAGAAGACACAGAAGGGATGGATGTCCCAGACTGCCGAAGGACAGTCTCTGCCCCAATTGTACGACCCAAAGATCTGTGCAGAGCAGAAGTTAAACCTGACCAAGGCCCTAGAAGCTCCGCAGGCTCCATGCATCTGGCACAAGGGTGTGAAGTCGAACAGTCATTACTTCAGTTTAGCAAGTGCAAACAAAAGGAAGAGGAGGAACTCCAGTCCCTTGAGAGTAGCAAAGAATTGCTGAAGCCTTGCCTGGTGTGTCAGAGGAGGCCACGGAATGGGAACATTGTCCATGGAAGGACTGCTCATCTAGTGGCCTGTTTTACTTGTGCAAAAATGTTAAAGAAGGGACGATTGCCTTGCCCAGTGTGCAAGAAACAGATTCAGATGGTGATCAAAATTTTCATAGCATAACTCTCTCACTTGATGGTAATAATAGTGGCCAGTCCGTGAACAACTGCCAAAGGGTGCTGTTATATTTTTAGGTATAAATGTTAACTGTGAATTCAAAAAGAGACTTCTTCAAGGTATTTCATAATTTATGCAAAACAGCCAGTGTTCCTAACAATGTATACAAAGTGATAACTACCATATAGTTTGGTTTATGTTGAAAAGGCTTGTATGTGACGTATCTGATCAAACTGTTTGTGCTATTACTCCTCAGCTTAACAATGCAACAAGTTGCAGTGCTCAGTTATGTAGAATTGTGCCCTTTCTAAAGTCCAGGGCTTGTTTGCACAACTACACCAAACCTTTTTGAAGGAGGCACCTTAATTTCAAAGAGGATATAAGTTGGATGTTTATTTAAACAGCATACTTTGCACACCCTTAAATAGCAAAAGGCTGAATGTGGCTATCTGTTTATGTTGGTCAGTTCTTGGAAAGGTCATCCTGAATTTTGAATTTGTTACTGTTCCAGGGTTTTTAAAAGACTAAGTTGATGCTTGGTCAGAAATCCTGCTTTTCTTCCATTTCCTTTATAAAATAAAACAAAAAAACAAATATAGTTGCTGAATGCTAGCAGAGTTTTAGTCTGAAGAGTACTGCAGTCCTTGTAGGAAAGACCATGCATTTTCCATTTATTGTTGAAAAGGCAATCATTGTTAACTTTGGCTTTTTAGAAAATCTACCTGGAGAGAGCATCTCTTTGAGAGTTCAAGGTTTTTCAGGACCTTTGCTGTTTTGTTGGTTTATTGGTTTAAATACTGTCATTTCCCACTGTAAATTGCATGCATTCATGTTGAATATTGTATCTGAACTTCAGGTTATAAGCTGTACCTTGATGTGAATTGTGGAGCTGTCTTTCAGCCCCAAACCCTATTCAGATATTATTCTCCATAGATCATACTTGTGATTAGGATCACGCTTTCCTCCTGTTCATGCAACAGGCATTCCTAATCCTGATGGAATTAGGGATCTGATTCTATAATTGTTACCTTTCAGCACTGGAGGAATAACAATCCCTTTGGCTGTGCCTGTTTGTGTCTTTTGCCACTGAAACCCATCAGTAGCCATACTTTTAATCTCTCACTTTATGTAGGCTCTGCAAAGAGCCATGTCTGAATAGGGTTTAAAGACACAGCTAACCAACGTTTAGTCCTGTTTGAGTGAGAGTTAGGTGTTGCAGACTTCAAGTTTTCAGAGCTTCTTCTGGTTTTCTAAACTTTTCATGACTTCATAAAGGCCAAAATAGTGTGTCTTATATTTTCTAATTACATCTTAATATATTGTAAAACCAGATAAGTTATCATCTCCCTACCTAATCATATAACTGTCTGTGTGATACCTGAAGGATATCTGAAGGAATTTGTTCTTGTTGAGTGTGGTGCTATTAAGTACAGGCTACTTGACTTCTCAAGCCTCACTGCCAATACCCTTTTAGTAGTATGAGGAAAATATATTTAGGCATTTTAAAATACCCCCCACATAGCCTTGCATTTAAGGTAGAATAGGCACTCTTCTCAAACGCACATGCACCACCCAGTGTAATTCAAAAAGCTACTCTGCTACAGATACTGCATTTTCAGCTGCTCAGAGAAAAGGTTCATATGGTAAGATGGATTTTTTAAATTCTCTTCGGGTGTGACTGCTGGAGAATATGACCTTGTTGTTGATCCTTGTTTATCCTAATTGGTTCCTAAATCTATGCCTCGCTGTTGAGCCTTCCTCTGCTTAGTTGGTTTCTCACTGTGTTCTTTTTTCCAGAGTGAAGCTTAGGTTCTAGAATACACTTTCTGCAGGTCAGGGTTTTGCAGGAGCAAATGGTATAAAGAAAAAAGCTGTGTGCAAATTACAGGTAGGAATCTAGGAATTGTTCAGGGTATGCCGGCTGCCCATCCCTCCCTGTTCTGAGCATTTTACTTCCTGCTTCAGAGGCATGTTAAGGGAGATCAGTGAAGTGAGGCATCTTGCACATTAGAACCTTTCACACAGGTCAGCATCTTAGGCTTCATTTGCAGGACTCATTGGGATCATATTAGGATTGTTTCTGCTTGGTCCTGGGCCACTTTTAAAAATAGGTTTATTAATAAATCCTTTCCCCCCCAAATGCCACTTTATGGATGCAGTTTGGGAGCTCATATAGCATTGTCATTTTCCTAGGATGCCAGCCAAGCACATTCTTTCTCTCTAAGTCCTCACATTGGTAACCAAAAAAAAAAAAAGCTCCTAAGGGCATACAGTTCACCTGGTCCTGAACCCCAGGTGCAGGAGGTATTCCCTAGTCAAAATGTCCTATGTTGCTTTCCTCCGTAATATTTTTTTAAATTGGCCTAGAGTTTCCTATACCACATAGCTACACTGCAAGGATCTGGAAACTATTCCCACTTATATTGTTGAAGGAACTTGCTGCTTCAAGTTGAAAATGAGAGAGATTAGTGCATACCACATACTGGCCTGTGACAATCCCTGGATTTAGTTATAGGCTTTAAAGTTGCAAAGGCAAAGTAAGGAATAGCTTCAGTTCATGTAAAATTGCTATTTTCCCATCTGTAGCTGTTTGAAATGCTTTTCTGTATTTGCGGCATAGTTCTAAATTTATTAGAGGGGGGAGCACAAGATGGAGCTAGGAACCCCTCTACTACCTAATTAATATTTTGGTAGGTAGTCCCTATTCTGCTGTTTACTTTCTTGCAAATCACCTTTTTTAAAAAGGGAAATAACCAATCTGTACTTATATCAAATATAATTTGCAAATGGTAAAATTCTAAACAAGGCAATACATTAAACAGTATGGGAGTCATATTATACTAAAGCAAACAAAAACCCTTGGAGGTGAATAGACAGAGCTAGTAACGATATTGCTTAAAAATTGAGCTGAAAATACAAGTTGTTGCACCTCATCCTTCTAAGAAATTGCCTCTTGTTGATCAGCTGATAATGGACGAGAACGTTGTGAAAATGCAGCGTTCCAGCATTCACCTCTAAATGGGGCAGTATTGCTCGAATGCACATTTTTGTCTGTTTTGCAGATATATTAATAATGCTTTATGGTACAATTATTCTATTTGGATTTTTTGTGTGTCTAATGATAGTCTAAAACTTGCTTTGGACATTACTTGGAGAGTAGTGAGGGTTGTTTTCAAGGTACCATGTAAAAGTATTGGGAAGGATTATATTTCTCCCCATTAAAGGGATGCATGTGTTTTTCCTTTGCGTAATGGGAAAGGGCAACTCATGCTCCCCTATGATATTGCCCTATGATGTAACCCTGCACTGTGTTATGTACCAAATTTCCATTTTCCATTTCTGTATTCTGTTGCTATAAACCCACTGTGTCTTATAGATCTGTTAATCGCAGAATCTATGCATGAAACCATTTGTGTATTGGTTTTTGTGTAATGTTGATGCAACTTGCCTTGATCACTGGGCCAGATGTCTTGGGAATAGCTTCTGATAACAAATGAGAGAGCTGGTATCAGTTTGTTGGTTTGTGTCTTGTATGTTCAGTCTCACAAACCTTACAGCAGTAGCTCAGTATTCCTCTGAATCCTGGGAGCTGTGGGGTTTTTTTTATATATAAAGTGTTTTTTACACAGATGTCTTCTTTTTAAACAGTTCAGTCTGCTTGTGTTGTGAAATGCACATGTGAGATTCCTGTTGGCCCTTGGGGATAAATTTCTGGTGCAGTTTTGGTGCAAGTAATGTATATTTTTATTGAAATTATCCTGAGAGTTGAATATCAGATATCTATTTTCATTTTGTGGGTCAAAGCTATATATTTCCCTATAACCCAAAAGAATGTTCAGATGACCCTAGTCCAGTAAAATAGGTGTGCACCTAGATCCTATTGTTGGCAGCAACGTACAGCAGTCTGAAAATACAGGTCAGCCCACAGTCAACACAAGGGAAAGCACCAGGTATATTCATAGTATTCAGCTGCTGGGTCATAGTCAATGGGGTAGTTACTAAATTTAAATGTATATAGTACTGTCTTTAATTCTATGTGATGCTGATTATTCATGTCTAATCAAAAGAGCAGTAAAATAATTTTAAGACAAGAAGTTATTTTTTTAATGAGAACCAGTTATTTAAAGCCTTATAATAGATAACTTTATAAATATATAGTTAACCAAGGTTAGTTTAATGTGAAGGGGAGACTGGGTTAATCTGGGCCTGCCAAGTTTTCTGTCTAATATATTTTAACATGTTAGAAAGTTCAAAACTTCTTTTATCTCCATCATTTACATCAAGGAGATCTCTAGCATGCAGTACTGAGGCTAAGATGGGAGCATAAAATTAGGTCCCTTTATAGCCTGTCAAATAACCAGGAGGGTTGACTGCCTAGGTCTTTCAGAGTTGCAGCTATAAGGGTTGATATTGAAATAAATTTTTAGGTAAAAGTGTAGTCAAAAAGTCACTGCATACTACACTGTGGGTAGAAAGTGATTTCTAACTCTTCACATCAAATATCAGCCCAACATTATACCTAGCATCTCTGAAAATGCAGCTACATGAATATGACGCTTTCAGCACAGGACCTGCAAATGAATGGAGAGAATCTTCCTTGAGCTTCACTTCAGGATAGTTAAAAGTACTGCTAAACTAGGCTGACTGTATGCATATTAAATGTGCATATTAAACTTCCATTTTTCTTTAGATATTTATTTTAATGGAAATAATCTAACAAATCAGACTCTTAAAGACGTGATGTTATGTTCAATATGTGGCTTTCATTGTGTAGAATTGGCTCTATAGCTTTCTTCTCTTGTGTGATGTGATCACATGGTGACTTTCCCCATTTTTGCTCTGTATTATTGGATGATGCAGTGAAGGTGAGGAAACATGGGTAGCATGTCTAAACATTACTGGGGTGAGGGAGAAATGTTTTCAGCAGTAGCCCATTGTTGGGCCACTTGTCTAGTCTATGCAGACCAAGCCATGAAGCCCATTTTAATTCTGTCTTTTTGTTTTTCATTTTATTATGTAAGTGGGAAGTTATGGGTTCAGTAGAAGTGGGAGGGGGTGGGGTTGAAAATTATCTTGCTTTTTCAATGACTCCGTAGGCTGAATTGGCCATCTACATTGTAATTTTTATGTCTTAAAATAAAATGGAAGTGTGTGACTACTCTGATTTTGTGTCTTAGAAGGAGCTGTTCACATCTGAGATGGTGATTAACACTTGAAGTCTTAAATACTGAGCAGTAGTGAGGTTAAGCAATGAGAGAAAAATAATTAGCATGCTCTGTTACATATCTGGCTAGAAAAAAAGGCAAACAGTTACAGCAGAAAGCACCAAAAATGCAACTTCAGCAAATACTGCTGTCTCCAAGATAACAACTATAGTAGACTTCTAAAAGCTTCCAGTATCTGGAGATCAGTTGCCCCAGTTACATATTACAGCATCTTTAATCTTAGTAAATTAGCTTTTGGTGTGTTCACTGCCCTATCTATTACTAGCTTCTGATTTCATGTGAGTGGTTCTAGAATAGGTTTGAGTGTATTGTATCGCCACAAGGACAGAGCAGCCATAGTGCTTGAGGTCCTGAACTGTATGAGGTAACATACTGTTGACTACTCAAGAATTCTTAGTTGGATTTAAAGCATCATAGCTTGCCTTTCAGGCCACCCTACTCCATTAGCAATTGCTTGAAATTCTGTTCTCGAGGATCGAGTACCTTCAATAAGATCAATTTTAATCTCAGGCAGTGATCACAATGCAGACTGAGCACAGCACGGTACTTGGCAAGATGTCTTAAAGCAACAGTGACCAGAAAACCTCAAAGCAGTTGCTCCTCTGCTAGAGACATCACAACTTGACAAAGTACCTTCAAAACTCTTCAATTTCCCCTTCCTTCATATTGTAATGATCTGGCTGTATACAACTTCCATTTTGTGACCTGCAGGTGGGTATGTGCTTAACTGTCCAAATGACTGAGGTGCTCCA